ATTACTTTGCTATAAGCAAGCATTTACCTGAATGACATCGATTCATTCAGGGTTTTTTTTTTGTTTTTTTTTTTTGCTTAGCTGTGATTTGGCCACAGCTAATCACATGACAGGTGCATGTGACCTGCTGTGACCATTCACAGCTAGGCACTAGTATACAATGGATGGCATGAATGAAGCCATCCTTTGTATACAACTGTCATGTGACCTGCTGTGATTGGTCACAGCAGGTCACATGGTACGGGCAACGGGGCCGATACTCAGATCTGTCATTGGCCGTGTCCGAGGTACACGGCCGGTGACAGATCGCGCCCGCTGCACGGCTCTGCATGCACGAAAACTGCGCATGTGCGGGAGGACGCCAAATTGCATCTGCCCGGAAAGGTATTGCATTTTTGCAGCCGCCAAACGGCCATTGGCCGGGCGGCTAATGGTTAAAAACCATTTAATCCGTTCCGGAGGTCATAAAAAAGTCAAATTAAAGTCTTTTATCTGTTCAGAACTCTTTATAAATTGCACTTTAAAGGCATCCGCAAATACTGTATAGGGACTTGATTAAACAAGACATTCGGGTGTCCTGGTGATGGCGGATTGTGGGAATATTTTTTGGGACTTTTTTATTGGAATTTTTAAGTTTTATTGGACTATATGTTTTTTAATTAGCGCTGCAATTTTGTATTTTTTAATAATTCTATATATGCTGCATTTCATGTCTCCTGTTTAACAAAATGACTTTCAATTTGTAAAACTACTCCACACTGATTTTTTTTTTAAATTTTTCTCAAAAATGTCAATGTATTTTTTCCCCATGGCTTCCAAATTTCCATAAATTTTACATCTCTAGATGAGGTTCAGGTCCACCACTACCATCGGTTTGAGTCGAATCCCAAGGGATTTGCAAATTTTGAAAACTGCATATGTTTGTCTTGGCAGGTTCACTTGGCAAAGTTCGCTGCCAGAAAGGAGGAACAATCTATAATGCAGTGTATGGTTTTCCCTTGTCAGATTAGGGCTCATGTACACTGCGGCTGATAAACTCACGTTTTGAAGCTTTTCTGCGTTTTTTTTTCAGCAGCCCCTGAACCCTCCCTAATGTTTTCCTATGTTTCCATGTTCACATCATCGTTTACAGGCAGTTGAGTTGACAGTCGTTTTTTTTGAACGCAGAAAACTTGGATAGTAGATTTTATCAGCGTTTCAAATGCAAAACTCTTGTAAACGCGGCTAAACAAGTTTATAGGCATTTCCGTTTGAAACATTTTTTTTTACTCTTCCATTTCCAGATGCTGTCCCGAGCCTTTTTTTCATCATGAAAAATGCATGCAAAGCTTTTTCCTGGTACTCCAATGGACCCGGTACACCATACTTTGAGGTTTTGCATGAAAAAAAAAATATGTTAGACGCTTCTGCAATAATTTCTGCACAGAAATGAGCCGGAACACATCCAAACACCACAAAAAAAAAGACAGCTAATCTGAACAAATACAGCTCTTTCTGCTTCTGCTCTCTCTATTGCTCTCAAAAATGTCTGAAATGTATTTATTTATTTCAGTTACTTATATAGCGCCGTTAATTTACGCCGTGCTTTACATATATATTGTACATTCACATCAGTCCCCGCCCCCCCCCGAGGAGCGTACAATCTAAGGTCCCTAACTCACATTCATACATACACATACTAGGGCCAATTTAGACAGGAGACAATATATCTACCAGCATGTCTGTGGAGTGTGGGAGGAAACTGGAGCACCCGGAGGAAACCCATGCAGGCACAGGGAGAACATGCAAACTCCAGGCAGGTGATGCTGTGGTTGGGATTCGAACCAACGACCCTAGTACTGCCAGGCGGAAGTGCTAACCATTTAGCCACTGTGCTGCCACAATGAGTTAATTTTTTACTGTTTTTCAGTGCATTCTGGGCATTTTGGAAGGTCTCCTGAGGTTATCTTAAAAAAATGCTCATAAACAAGGTTTGCATACACAGCTAAACAGACATTTTTTAACCTCTTCACGCCGGCCGAATGCAAATGTGCGGGCCTCCCGGCGTCTGGGCCTAGACGCGGAGCGGCTGCATATTTGCATTCTATGTTCGGTACTCACGGAAAGGTCCCGATCTCCTCTTTCGATCGGGACCTTTCCCGATCATGTGACCGCTGTGACGGCATGTCACGGCGGTCACATGACCCTAAACTCTGCCCCACCTCCCGGCTTCTGAAACCCTTAAAGGGCCGGGAGGTGCCGGCGCCAGGGGGTTAATCTACATTTTCCAGCAGTCAGTTTCCATCGTTCAGAAGTGTCCCGTGTACATGGAGCCTAAGTCACAAAAGCCGATAATTTGTAGGAATTGATGGCCCAGTCCCATTTATATACCAGGGTGAGCTCACAGCAGCCATATTGTCTGTAGGTCCCAGTCCCATTTCTAGACAAGGGTGAGCTCACAGCAGCCATATTGTCTGTAGGTCCCAGTCCCATTTCTATACCAGGGTGAGCTCACAGCAGCCATATTGTCTGTAGGTCCTAGTCCCATTTATATACCAGGGTGAGCTCACAGCAGCCATATTGTCTATAGGTCCCAGTCCCATTTCTATACCAGGGCGAGCTCACAGCAGCCATATTGTCTGTAGGTTCCAGTCCCATTTCTATACCAAGGTGAGCTCACAGCAGCCATATTGTCTGTAGGTCCTAGTCCCATTTATATACCAGGGTGAGCTCACAGCAGCCATATTGTCTATAGGTCCCAGTCCCATTTCTATACCAGGGCGAGCTCACAGCAGCCATATTGTCTGTAGGTTCCAGTCCCATTTATATACCAGGGTGAGCTCACAGCAGCCATATTGTCTGTAGGTGTTGATGCTGTTTTTTGAGAGCTGTCAATTCTGTCTAGGAGGAGATACTGTTTTTTATTTTCCAAATTTTGGGCTTGGTGTACGCCCCCATGGCAATACCCTGTTTCCTATGCTGTTTGTTAGACAATGGCCAGAATTGGATAACAAGATTCACCCCCGTAGACTTTAGTTGGGTTCCCTGCAAAGTTGGTAAGCTTCAAACTTTCAAGCAAGAATTACAAAACTGTTTACGACACAAACCCAGGAAAATTCACTCCACCAAGACCCCAGTGGATTCCAGCAAATAGCAAAAATTCAGACATATTCCAAAAAAAATTACAGTGAGGGGGAAAACACTCAGTTTTGTTTTTCCCTAATAGCTTACAATCAAACAATAAAGACTGGAAATTCTTACATACATTTATCGGTTGCACCTTAACCAGTTCCGTGCCGCCCTATAGTAGAAATACTGCTACAGGTGTGCAAAATCACATATATATACAAGTGAGTTTACAGTTCCGGGTAGCGGGCATGCAAGAGGCCTCGGCTGTCAATCACTGTGTCCCGGCCAGTGATCCCTTGCCGGTACCCGGCGATCTCCGAGGATTACCGATGGGGGAGAGGCCTGTATGTAAACAATAAAGATCTCTCCCCTGTCAGCTCCTGCACACTGCTTTGTATGGCTATGCATAGCAGAGCCATACAAAGCAGTGCGATTAGAGTGAAGCACACGCAGCACACAGGTAACCCTTTGATCGCCCCACATGTTAACCCCATCCTGCCCAGTGCTTTTTATTAGCACTGATCACTGTATTGGTGTCACTGGGGATGTCAGTGATACAAAATCAGTTCCCCCTCAGTGTCAGAATGCCCGCCGCAGTCCTGTAATAAGTCGCTGATCACCACCATTACTAGTAAAAAAAGAAAAAAAATTCCAGTATATATACCACCGTTTGTAAACGCTATAACTTTCACTTAAACCAATTAATTTACACGTATTGGGATTTTTTTTTAGCAAAGACCTGGAGAAATTTGATATATATATATATATATTGAATATGGCCAAAATTGTAGCATTTCAAATATATGGCAATATATTTGGGAAGAGTATTTTCAAAATATATTTCAGATATAATTTTCTTCCATGTGGGTAGTTTGCAAGGGATCTTCCCTGCCCCACTAGCTGTCAAATTGAAAAAAAAAAAAAAAAAGTGGTCGTGTGGGGGTTCCACCTGCCTGGCTGTGCCACTCATTCACAGTCCTCTGTGAATGAGGGATTACAAGTCCCGACAGACTTAGCGACTGTCAGCTTGTAGGTTTCAATGAACTACCACGGTCCCATTCTTCCTGTCGGTATATCTGCTTTAAATGTGCAAAAGTATTTGGCGCTAGTTCAAACGAACGTTTCCATAATCCGACAGCTACCACAAAATCCTAATACTGGAACTCATCAAATATGACCGTGCAACAGTGCAGCGCTCAAAAAAAAATATAAATACTCAACTAATATCACGTGAAAACATAAAAGAAACATGCATATCGCTACAACTCAACAAGATAGACAAATCATAAATGTGAATATTTCATACTCATAAATAAATAGATGAATAAATATAAAGTGTAAATATTTCATGCTCATAAATAAAAAAAAAAGTTCTTCTATAAAAGTCCCATCTCCATGTGAAAATCTTGTATGAAAAACTGGATACTCTTCAGGTAGGGGCATCCCTAGGGTTGGTGTCACCCGGTGCGATAACACTTGGTGACACCTCCCACCGACGATCCCCGCAGGATGGATGGGATCTGCGGATTGAGCATAATGGATCAGACTCTGATCCATTGTGCTCCCCAATCGGCAGATCCGATCCATCCTGCAGGATTCGTCAGCTTGCTTTACAATTTACATTTTCGTGGAGCAGGTCCGGTTGCACCCTGTGCAATAGGTGTCACCTGGTGCGGTGCGCACCCCCCCCGCACATGCCTAGGGACTCCACTGTCTTCAGGTGATGGAATGATGAAACCATGTTATCAACACATGCAAATGTGTCACCCCCAGGGGCGGACTGACCATTCGGGCTCTCCGGCACTGGGGGCCCCCTGAGATGCCCCTGGTACCTTTCATAGGCTTTTTTTTGGGTGTGGTTTGAGTGTAGGCAAGGACACAGGGGCCCCATGATCCCCTGTCGCCCGGGGGCCACATGAGTTGTCAGTCCGCCCCTGGTCACCCCACACCGTGATCACCGAAGACTTAGCAGATATATTTGAACCCTATTTTACTGAGTGGTCAAAACTCGCTCAATGGTATTGAATATCATCAATCGCAGCTCCTTCCACACCATAGGATGTAACTCCTTATATGTTGGAGTGCTTTGTAGAGGACAGCCACTCTTGATGTGTCAAACATTCAATTGTAACGTATAGGAAGCAAAAAAGCTCTCTACAGTATGGCATAAAACCATAACTAAAATGTTTTATCCAAAACCAAATTGCACTTCCAAGGTACCAGATATGAAACAGTGCTGTAAAAACAAACTCCCGGTCAATTCCCACATCAAAGATGGCCACAAAGGTGCACGCATGCGTGGTGGTGTATGTCCTGGCTCCGCCCAATGCGTTTCATCAGATATGACGTTATCAGGGGGTCAAGCTTGATCCTGGGATATTCCACCACATGACCCAATAATAATTATATTTCTTAAAGGATAATTGACATCGTTAATAATGAAGAAATCTCTCAGGATCCCTGGAACTGTCATTCACTGTGTAATAGTGAATTTAAAGTGATATCAAAGGAAATTTAAATAAATAAATAACATGCCATACTTACCTGTTCTGTGCAGTGGTGTTGCACAGAACAGCCCCGATTATCCCTTACTCGGGTCCTCCCCCAGCGCTCTAGCCTAGTACCCCCCCCCCCAGAGCAAGCAGCTTGCTATGGTGGCACCCAAGCAGGCTCACTCCCTAGCTACTGCCAGTGGTGGACTGACAACTCATGGGGCCCCCAGGCAATAGGGGATCATGGGGCCCCTGTGTCCTCGCCCACACTCAAAGCACACCCAAAAAGCCTATAAAAAGGTGCCAGGGGCATTTCATGGGGCCCCCTACTGACCCTGGGCCCTCGGGCAGTGCCCGAGTGCTTGAATGGTCAGTCCGCCCCTGGCTACTGCTCTGCATGTCAATTCACACACAGAGCTGTGGATTTGACCCACCCCCTCTATCTCCTCATTTGATCACTGGCTGTGATTTATAGTAGTGGGATCCAATGGCTGCCAATGAAGAGGGAGAGTCACCAGAGAGCCTAGGCTCTTGTGCACATTGCTGGATCATGATGGGGCTCAGGTAAGGTCAGGGTCTCAGTGGTTATGCTTCTCTCTGCCACTGGAAGAAGCTACCATTGCTTAGGGCAGGTGATTTTAAAGGATTTAGCCTGAATATTTATCAGGTTCCAGCCAATCCTTGGAGGGAAAATTGCCAGAAGGGGACAGAGTGTAGACAAATAGTCTGAGACACTGAAGAGCAAGGTTCCTTCTTCCCTGGAGAGATCCAGGGTTTCAGGGACCGCTGCTGGCAGCCCAGGGATGGAACAACTGCTCCAGGAGGCTATAGAAGTACAATGATTCAAGGCTCAAATGGATTTTTTCTCAGAAATGAATGCAGAACCACACCACCAGGGATCCAGTCCTGAGAGGTGCCATCTTGCTCACTGGGTTGTGTCTGGAGAAAGCTGGAAAGAAGCAGCTGTCCTGGGGACTTGAAAGTAGTGATTTTAAGCTGATGCCTGAAACTGTGTGCTGAACTCTGCACTGGGTAGCGATAGTTGCATGCTGATGCACGGTAAACAGATGCCCAACATTTTCCCCCCTGGTCCTCAGCCGAGGAGTTCTCAACCAATGCCACTACTACTAGGAAATACCCTCCTCAGAGCCCTATTGATCCTGAGCATTTTTGGAGTATCCAAGGCCACGTTTCTCTCCCTACTCATAGAAGTTCTTCAAGCATAACATTTTAAAAAATATATCCATTAGACTAGCCTTTTTCCAATGTTTCAGACCAGTGGTCTCCAAACTGAGACCCAGGGGCTAGATGTGGCCCTTTGCTTGCTTTTATTTGGCCCTTGGATCCCTATTTCATCCACTGACACCAACAATGGGGCATCATTTCCCCTGACTGATACCAATGAAGGAGCATAACTCCTCCCAATGATGCCAATGATGGGGCACAATGCCTCCCAATGATATCAACGATGGGGCACAGTTTCGCCCAATGGCACCAACAATTGGGCCCAATAACACAAATCATGGGGCACAATTCCTCCCAATGACGCCAATGATGGGGCACAATTCCTTCCAATAACACCATTGATGGGGCACAGTTGCACTCAATGATACAAACAATTGGACCCAATACTCCAATGATGGGGCACAATTCCTCCCGATGACACCAATGATGGGGCACGATTCCCCAGTGACACAATGAAGGGGCACAGTTCCTCTAATTAGCACCATAAATGGGGTATTGTTTACTCCCACTGATGCCAGGACATTTTCTACTCCAAATGTCTACAGTCCAGCCCCCCTAAAGTCTGAAGGACAGTAAACCGGCCCTTTGTATATAAAGTTTGGAGACCCCTGTTTTAGACACAGAGGAACCACTGGAATACCTATCTGGTCTAAGGGAACCCCTATTAAAGATGACTATATTTCCAACTCATGAGTGTGATGGTCAGCGGGAAGAATGCTCCTTACACTTGTGGTTACATAGTTACATAGTTAGTCTGGCTGAAAAAAGACAAAAGTCCATCCAGTTCAACCATTAAAAGGTCATTGGGAAGCATTTCCTCCTTACGGATCAATGGTGTCAGTGGGAACTTATCTGAAAGGCAGAAATTGCTCATTGCTCAAGGAACCCCTAGCATCCTCTGGAGAAACCCTAGCGTTCCATGGCACCATGGCTGAGAACCCTTCCCTAGACTATTTATTGGAGCCAGTCTGAATGAACTGGGCAGGTAGCCGCTGTACTATTTGGGAAAGAACCTTTCTGGGGTGAAGCTACACTGGTGACAGGTATCCACAAGCTGCGAAGGGTGACAACATTTACTACAAGCTGTAGTGTTGTCACCCTTTCCTGGAGGGTCCCAATTTGACCTGTAAAAAGCCAAGCTAACATACACTGCAGTGCCACACTCTACTATAGACACCCGCCAGAGGGGTGACATTATCTTGAGGGTGGCTGCGGACCGCAGGGCTTCTTTTCAGCTGAAAAGTATCAGAACCGAGTTCCGCCAAGTCCAGCGCCAGCCCTGTGTTTTCCCCAGACTCTCACTGCTGTCACTTCTAAATGCAACAGCGCAACTCTCCGGGCAGTGCGGCTGTACTGAATCCTCCTCTCCTAGGTGCAGCTGGGCTGATGTGATCCAGGCCTGTTGCCGGGCTGCCTGCTGCAATTGTTGGCACCCACAACATCTTCCCTGAGGCCATTCCTATCCTGGCAGACCCCATGACATCACTGGGTATCACCCCCCCCTCACCCCCCCTTCTCACTTTCACCTACTTTCTCTCTCTCACCCCCCTTCTCATCCCCCTTCTCTCTCTCACCCCCCCTATCATCCCCTTCTCTCTCTCTCATCCCCTTCTCTCTCTCTCACCCCCCTCTCATCCCTTTCTCTCTCACACCCCCCCTCATCCCCCCCTCTCTCTCTCATCCCCTTCTCTCTCCTCATCCCCTTTCACCCCCCCCCTTTCATCCCCTTCTCTCTCTCATCCCCTTCTCTCTCTCTCACCCCCCCCTCATCCCCCCCTCTCTCTCTCATCCCCTTCTTTTTCTCACCCCCCTCTCCCCCCTTCTCTCTCTCATCCCCTTTTCTCTCCACCCCCCCCTCTCTTTCACCCACCCTTCTCTCTCTCCCCCCTTCTCTCTCCACTCCCCTCCCCCCCCTCCCTCCCCTCTCCCCCCCCCTCTCATCCCCCCCCCTCTCTCTCCCCCCTTCTCTCTCTCCCCCCCCTCTCATCCCCCCTCTCCCCCTCACCCCCCCCCCCTCCCCCTTCTCTCCATCCCCCATCCCCTTCCCTCTCTCCCCCCCTCCATCCCCTTCTCTTCTCCCCACCCCCCCCCCCCTCATCCCCTTCTCTCTCTCACCCCCCTCCCCCCCCCCTCTCCTCCTCCCTCCATCCCCTTCTCCTCTCACCCCTCCCCCCCCTTCTCTCTCTCACCCCCCCTGCTCTCTTTCACCCCCCTTCCCCCCTCCCCTCTCACCCACTTCTCCTCTCACCCCCCCCTTCTCTTTCTCTCACCCCTTCTCTCTCCCCCCCCCCGCCCCCTTCTCCCCCCCCTCATCCCCTCCCCACCCTTCTCTCCCCCCCCTCCCCCCCCCCTCCACCCCCCCCCCCCTCCCCCCCTCCCTCCCCCCCCTTCCCCCCCCATCCCCCCACCCACTCCCCCCCCATCTCTCCCCCCCCCCCCCCCCTCTCACCCCCCTTCCCCTCTCCCCCTCTCACCCCCCCCCCCTCTCCCCTCTCTCTCCCTCCCCCCCCTCCCCCTCTCCCCCCCCCTCCCCCTCCCCCCCCTCCCCCCCCCTTCTCTCCCCCTCCCCCCTCTCACTCTCTCCCCCCCTTCTCTCTCCCCCTTTTCCTCCCCCCCCCTACCCATGCTGCATCCCCCCACCCTCCTGCACTCCCCCGGTACTGAAAACGGCATCCCCCTCAAAAAACCACCCCCCCCTCCCCTAAACATACAGTACCAAAAATAGATCCCATGTGATAAAATAATACCCCCCCCCCCTATTACAGACTTCAAACAAATCCCCCCCCCCCCCCCCCCCCCCCCCAAACCATTGGGGTCATATCCAATCCCATCCAGATCCCCCCCTACCCCCCCCTCCCCCCCCCCCCCCCCCCCCCCACCGCTCTCTCCTCACCCCCCTTCTCCCTTTTCACCCACTTCTCTCTCTTACTCCCTTCTCTCTCTCCCCCCTTCCCGCATCCCACCCCTTCTCTCTCTTACCCCCTTCTCTCTCTCACCACCCCCTCCCCCCCCCTCTCTCTCCCCCCCCCCTCCCCCGTCCCCCCCCCCCCCCCCCCCACCCCTTCCCTCACCCCTTTTCTCTTTCACCCCCTTCTTTTTCCACCCCTTCTCTCCCTCCCCCTTCTCTCTCCTCCCCCCTCATCCCCTTCTCCTCCACCCCCTCCCCCCCCCCCCCCCCCCCCCCCCACCCCCCCCCCTTCTCTCTCTCCCCCCTCCCCCCCCCTTCTCTCTCTCCCCTTCCCCTTCCCCCTTCTCTCTCCCTCTCCCCCCAATTCTCTCTCTCACCCACTTCTCTCTCCCCCCTCCCCCCTTCTCTTTCTCCCCCCCCCCCTCTCTCTCATCCC